GATTGAGAAAGAGAGATAATAGATGGACAAAGAAAAAGAGGATAATGCATTGATGAATGAGTTTATTAAGATTTTAAAGTTAATGTTGTATCATGATGTCTCAATCTTTAGATTAATTATCGTTAAAGATGCACTAGGCAAGAGTTGGGCAAAGTGGAATATTGTGAACATGTAAATAATCTAATGTAATCCAAAACAATAGCCCTTCAGAAAATGTTATGTTGTCATAATTGACTAATCTGTCAAACTAATTGTTTATTCTAGTGTCCTACAATGCTGAAATATGCCCCTAGCAAATTCACAGAGCCCAAAATGAGGTCTTAAAATTATTTGTTTTATCTTACCAACACTCCAAAATCCAAGATATTAAACTATACAATGAAGACAAGCAGCAAATTCTTAGAAATAGTGAATGTTTGGCATTTTAGAGTGATACATGTTAAACTATGTATATTCAATTAGTTGAATTTTCTGTTGCTCGACTGATCGACTTCTCATTTTGGCATCCACTGAATCATTTATATGGTCATTTTGTGTCTGTAGGCTGTGGTGTGGTGCCTGCTGTAGCTTCAGACTGTTTTTACCACTAGAGGGCAGACTAGTGCTGCTGTTCCCCCTTTCCCTCCTTTCCCCTCGCCGCTATCCGCCCCATCAAGTAGCCCCATGCTGAATTACTCTCCCTCATAATTTATTACACATACTCATCCATTATACATAGAGGCAGTACCCCTGTCATACAGAGGTCACAATACACTACCATATCTCATCCCAGCATATATAATACATTGGATTTCCCCACATGCATTATGCATCACAAACACACATGTTCTTTGTTTGGGTGATGTAGTCTTCATCTCTTTGTTCTGTTAAATTGTGAGGAAACAGAGTCTTGAAATATTATGGCCAGTATGAGTATGGCCATAAACATATATGGGTGAGCAAGATCTGACTCATCGTGGGTCTCACTGTGACTCACTTGAGTTATACTGTATAGGTATGAATCACATTCACATACAAAGTTAAGTTTACCGTGACTGTACCGTGACCTGCCTGACACACAGACTCAATAAATTCACACACACACACACGCACACACACACACACACACACACACAGAACTATCTGTTTCCTGTCCTTTTCTAGCCGGGGCCTCTTCTTGTCTGATGAGTACCACTTAAATTTGGAACCAGACCCCTCCCAGTATCCCCCACCACACTCTCACTCTCACACGTCATTCTCACCGGGAAACAGCAGGAAGGGGGACGATGAGGAGCTTATTCCCCTGAGTGTGTGTGTGTGTGAATTAACAGTAATGAAATGTGGTCCAATGTAGGTTTAAACTTTGGAAACTGTGACAGTTTTAGAGGTTGGGACTCAAATCTGCATTACGTAAACGTCACTGAGATTAGTGCAGACCTGTACATTAACAAAGCTGATTGGTTGATCCAATGTCCTGTTGAGAGGTTTTCTCTGCTTTTTCTTTTGGTTTGAGAATACATGTCAGCATAGTACTGCCACAAACAATCTGTTAGCAGACCATAAGAAAATTAATTACTCTTCCAGACACTTTAGCTTGTTAGCCATCTTAGATTAATCATTGATGAATCCAAATTCTTTCACGTTTGTTTCACATCTGTAGTGGTTTATTTGTCACTGTGGTGAAACTGATTTCTGTTTTCTGATTTCTTCTACCTTTGTTTTACATTGTGGTTTGCTAAATGTGACACTACTTCCTAGTGGACATGTACGTTATACGCCCAATCTGTACAAAGCAGTATATATCCATTAACAACCTCTGTGTATAACCAGTAGGAATAGCAACACCTCATCTGTCTCACAGCCTCCACATTCCTCCCATTCCCAAAAGATTGGATGCCTGTGATTGAAACAAACAATAAAGTCCCATTTTCATAATAGAGACAAGTGAGCGGTCTACTGTCTAGAGAAGAGCTCTAGAGACAAAAGCCCAACAGGGTAAATGCTATGCTTGGTCATTAGCTTGTTTCTCTTGAGATCAACACTTATACATATATATAAAGTGCTCAGAAAGGGAGATTAATGACTGTGTGTGTGTGCTTTTATGGCAAACCTGTACAAAGTATAACGTTAACCTACATACAGTAGCTGTCTGTCTGTCCTCACTGAGATTGATAATCTGTATCGACTTCCGTTGTTGTCGCTTGAGTGGTGATAATGGGCTCAACATAGACATACACACGTGTCGACGATTGGTGAGCTTGCAGCTTGTTGTCTGCCCTGCTGGGCCCAGACGCTTTTATTTCTGGATGAAGAGGCTCCCATCCTCAGCGACCTCCCATTAGTAAACGCACAGTCTCCATGGTTACGCCGCGAGACAAGCTGGTTCACTGCACTAAATGTCTGAATTATGAAAACATTTGTTTGGAGCGGGTCCTACACACGCACAGACACACACTAAGTTCCCTGAAGCTTTTCAGTCTGCTGGTTTAAGTGTTTTGAGTTTGTGCTGTCTGTTTTCTAGAAAAGCAGAAGTGAGCTGGTTGCTCTTCATGGTAATCCTGCAGAGTACAGGGAACTGAAACAAGAAGAGGAACATTTTAATAGAGAAGTAATCTGTTTTGAACACGAGAGATGACTAGAATAAGCTTCGCTGTCATCAGTAGTCACTTTAGCCTCATGCCTGCCACTGGATGTTTGATGTTATTCAAAAACTGGAGGTCATTATTTGGCCCTTATCTGATCGCTATCTAACCATATAGATGGTAAAGCACTTCTAATTATGTGCAACTCCTAGACCTTGTCGTTGCCTTTAAACCTTATCTCCAGTGGGACAGAGTGCTTACTGTGTGGAGACTAACTATTTCCCTCAGGTCAATCTCGATCCCGCTGTACTCTGACCCCATCTACTGGCCAAAAACTAGAACCTCACATGCACACACACACAACCCTAATGCAGCCTGACACGTCTGATTAATGAATTCCTCTCCCCACATCTGGACCTGGTTTACGTTACAGGTGACGGATCCGCTCACTCACTCTCTCTTTCTCTCCCCCTCTCTTTCTCACACACATACACATACACATACACCTCCTCCTGATGTGATCCTCAGTCGACACACCCAGGGCTTCCCTCTTGCTAAGAGCCAGATCTTTACACTATGACTCATACTGCGGTCCAGTTACAGACCCCCTCCCAAAAAAACAGCACAGCGCTCTCCCCCCTTCTCTAGAGGCTAGTCACAACATGGGCTGAGATCAAAATGGGCTGTTATGA